TGTGTTAAGTATTCATATACTACAATAAGCATTTTTTTTTTTTTACAAATAAAAAGATTGCAAGCCCCCCCTCCCCGCCCCTCCCTAAAAGAGGTGTCATATTACACCCCTTCCTCCCCATAACGACCACCTCTCTCCAACAGCCACTTTCTTCTGTCCCCAAGGTGGCCGTTGTGGAGAGGTTCGACTGTAATGTCTAAAAACCGTTCTATGGTTAACAAATTGGAAAAAGGTAGAACTTGACTATTAACAGTTATTACCGATGACAGAATGACAAAGAATGTTATATCGTGATAGAGGACATGGCAGAACTTTCCCCTCGGGTCAAATCACGGCTTAATTTTGTTGGAAGAAAAAGCGCGGGAAATTGCGTGTGAGCTACGTGTACACTACTGTTGGTCTTGCGCTTGCTCCTGGTTGGCCGAAAAGAAAAATACTCCCTTTTGATTGGATGAAACACGTTACGTCACTAACACTCGAGGGACATAAATTTGGAAATCATTGAATTAATGGGCTCTTTTGCAGGACAGCATTCGAACTAGAAGAAGATAACAGAGCGAAGCTGCCGCCTCGTACCCTGTCTCCAATCAAACAAGAGCCATCGACCTCCACCGCACCAGAGACTACCAAGTCTTCAGCTGCGCCACATGTTACCAAGTCCCCGCCTTCATCGAAAAAAAAGACTGTAAGCACAAGCATTCCAGTACCAAAGTCCAAGAAGGAAAAGAAGAAGGCGCCATTCTTGACAAGAGCATTCTTCAACACCGTGGCACCGGGGCTTGCTTCGTTTGCACAAACGCAGAAATCGGAACTCGACATCATTGTTGAAGAGGAAGATGAGATAGAAGAAGACCCGGATGTAATTGCAATGATGGCTGACTTTTGAGGTCCCGGATGTTAATAAGTTTCTTTACTCTATAGGAGACCACCTGAGGACTCGTAGCCATTCTCAATATTTGAAAGCAATACGTCTGACATTGTTTTTAAACTCTAAAACATACTTATATTTTTGTATCTTTACTTTCCGCAAGCGTATAGTATGCGGGTATTTAATAATTATTGCATGTTAGAGTAACATTTTCTTCGAGCCCACACCACTACCCAATAGCAACTACGCCAGAGGTTTAAAAACGCAGGAAACCGATTTTATTGTGCATTTAAACTAAGTGTAGTATTTGAGTGCTGAATATTTCTACAAATCTTTTACAGGCCATTTCCCTCGAGCAACTACGACTGTTTACTGTTGATGGACACAGGAAAACGGTGTAATTATTTCTTGAGAAATAAGTGAGAATCTTATTAACTTTTCACATGCAAACAAGACGGTACTCATCATATTTTATAGATCCCTAATTAACTGCATTTAAACAATTCAAAGCTTGAAGTTGATTATCTATTTATGAACCAATATATCTCTAAAAAATAACTCAAATCAAACATTGTAAACTTTATTTTTAAAGGATCAAAATCATTTGTTGTTCTTCAATAAAAGACGAACGCCAAAAAAGTGAAAACGCGTTCGGCCGATGAACAAACTGACATATTCTCATAATCTTCTACGGAGTTCCTTGCAGTGAGGTCGTCTCAGGCAACAAGTTGGCCCTGCTTGCAGTTTTCCTCTCGCTCTTATTGCGCATTGGAAAGGAGGGACAATTTGCAGTCTTGTTCGTTTCGCTGAGTGACATCTTCTCCCCAGTAAGCATAGCAATGTTCAAGGCTCTTTTTTTATACCGTGGCAAGGTTAATTCTGTAACGAAACGTCGGTTTCGCTCGAACAAACAAAACAACCACAAACTAACGAACCAACTCAAGGTTCAACTTTTATTTTTTATTGACATCTAAGTAAATAGTGGATCTACGATAATCTCGCTTACCAAACAGAAAACAAACCCGCAGTGTACTGGCTGTGTTCCTTTTTACACGAATTTCATCCATTCAGCCAGTTTTTCAGCAAGTTATTGTTATCGTCAGTTAATCTTTCTATCCCTGTAAGCAGGTTCCTAAAACTAGACTGTGAATAATTTATACCTTACTTTGTTTCTAAAACGTTCTTATTTACAGTTTAGACGTGAAACATGAGCTAGCATCCTTCATTTGTCAACCGCATCATCAAATGACAACGGGCTCATGGTAAGAAGTGAGTAAACCTCGCGCAAGATCAACAACAAAATTCCTGAAAGATTATCGATTTTACAATCGAAAATATCCCGAGCGATCCGAAAATACAGCGATCACACGTACATCACACACACAGTTCACATTAAAACTACCCCGGCTAAATACATAAATTTGTCTCAAATTCACGTAATATTTTACTTTTAAAGATTACTAAAAATTACGTTTAGTATGCGGTGCATGCGAAGTGTTTGTTTTTTAATACTGTGTGAAGCTGCAAAGAACAGTCGGATGTCATGGTTACTTGGCAACACCTGTGCTGGCTCACTCCAGTACTGATTTTCTTGACTGTTTTTTACAGGACGACTGGAAAAGAGTTTTAGAATTACGCTAGCTATTGTAGGTCCAGTCTAAGCGGTAGTCTTTTGTCCAGCGTTACCGTTCATTACAGCATCCAAGACATCCATAGCTGCCGCCGGAATGCGTGTTCCTGAGTGACGANGAGGGACAATTTGCAGTCTTGTTCGTTTCGCTGAGTGAGATCTTCTCCCTAGTAAGCATAGCAATGTTCAAGCCTATTTTTTTATACCATGGCAAGGTTAATTCTGTAACGGAACGTCGGTTTCGCTCGAACAAACAAAACAACAACAAACTAACGAACCAACTCACAGTTCAACTTTTATTTTTATTGACATCTAAGTAAACAGTGGATCTAGGATAATCTCGCTTACCAAACAGAAAACAAACCCGCAATGTACTGGATGTGTTCTTTTTACATGAATTTCATCCATTCAGTCAGTTTTTCAGCAAGTTATTGTCATCGTCAGTTAATCTTTCTATCCCTGTAAGCAGGTTTCTAAAACTAGACTGTGAATAATTTATACCTTACTTTGTCTCTAAAACGTTCTTATTTACAGTTTAGACGTGAAACACGAGCTAACATCCTTCATTTGTCAACCGCATTATCAAATGACAACGGGCTCGGGGTAACTGAGAATTGAGTAAACCTCGCGCAAGATCAACAACAAAATTCCTGAAAGATTATCGATTTTGATTGCCGGATTCGAAAATATCACGAGCGATCCGAAAACACAGCGATCACACGAACATCACACACACAGTTCACATTAAAACTACCCCGACTAAATACATAAATTTGTCTCAAATTCACGAAATATTTTACTTTTAAAGATCACTAAAAATTACGTTTAGTATGCGGTGCATGCGAAGTGTTTGCGTTTTAACCCTTTGAGCCCCAATTACGCATATATGCGTAATTAATAGTCGTGCTCTTTGTACCACTTGTGACGTCATCAATTTAAATGTCATCAAGTATTCTTGAGAAGCAGATAGCAGTACTAGGCTAGGCTTTCCCGTACAATGGTTTATCGACGACATTCCGACGTTGCAAATCCCCGGTCCATACGTAAGTCCAAATGTTGGCTTATGTGCATGCCCGGAATTGAAATATTGCTCAATTTTGTACCTAATTCTCGAAAAATCTCTCCTTTTGGTAAAGAAAGCTTTCTTAGCAAAACTTAGGCTTATTTAGCGTCATAGCAGCCAAAAAACCTGACTAAACAGTTAAAAACGGTATTTTTTGGCGAAAGTTTGGTATTCAAAGGGTTAATACTGTGTGAAGCTGTATAAAGAGTCGGATGTCATGGTTACTTGGCAACGCCTGTGCAGAAAATCGCAGGCTCACTCCAGTACTGATTTTTTTGACTGTTTTTTACAGGACGACTGGAAAAGAGTTTTAGAATTACGCTAGCTATTGTAGGCCCAGTCTAAGCGGTGGTCTTTTGTCCAGCGTTACCGTTCATTACAGCATCCAAGACATCCATAGCTGCCGCCGGAATGCGTGTTCCTGAGTGACGAACGAAGGAAAAGTTACGTTCCAGTGGCAATTTGGATTCTC